CCCCCCCCCAGCCGTTTCCCATTACAGCCGCTCTTGTGCTGTCAACGGCAGCACCTCATCATCGGAGGTAGACCGAGGGGAGCTGTCGAGGTCGTCCTCCTCCACTGGTGTCACAACAACCGTCACGCCCCTGGCCGACTTGTGCTTCTCATGGTTGTGTGCGTGTCCATGGGCGTGGGCGCCGTGGCAGTGGCCGTGGGCGCCGTGGCCGTGGCCGTGGCCGCATGAGAGTCCCATTGCGTGGATGGCCTTGTGCGAGAAATAGTTGGACGACAGCAGGCAGGCCGACCCAAGCAGCCCCACCACCGTGTGGATGATGTCCAGCTGCTCAAGGTACACCATCCACCCCCACAACACCGCCAGAGCCGATGCAGGTGCACTTGTGGCCGAGGCGTCCGCCGTTCGAGGGCCTTCGGCTGTCAGGAGAGTCACGTCGGAAGCTGCCGCACCCTGCCCCTGTCTCAAATGGTGGTGGTCGTGTGTGTGAGCGGGGATGTGGCTGAAGTACAGCAGGGCCACGCCGAAAGCCCCCAGAGCGAACAGCCGCAGAATGCGGTGCCGCGTGTAGTTCATCAGCACCGACAGCCCGCCGATGGGCAGCAGCACCCAAAACACAGCCTGAACCAGCCACACACGAGACTCTGCAGACACGAATCTCTACTGGTCCTTTTGGCGCATCCATACCACATCCACTGCGCTGTGGATCTGGTCGTTGGTGTGTTCGCCGACAACCCCCAGCAGCGGTGCAATGGCCAGCAGTGGCGGCAGCAGCACACACTCGATGGCGCACAGCACCGACAGCACGGTGGTGGCAATGGGGATGGACGACTGAATGCGCCCCAGCAGACCTGACCGTTGGGGCTTCAGGGACTTTGCTGAGGACGATGACGGACCGACAGATGGCGAGTGACTGCAGCCAACAGGCATATGACAGCCATGGAGACCTCAGCTTCCCTCTGTACGGATCTGCGCCCGGTAAATCACTCACCTGTGCCCGTCGTCATGATGGTCGTGGTTCTGGTGGTTGTGGTTGTGGCTGTGGCTGCAGAGCTGGCTGGTGCTGGTGGTGGTGGTGTCGGAGAGGGGAGAGGAGTCGCCGGAGGCGCTTTCCCCCTCGCAGCAGCCCGTGTCGCTATCGCAGCAGTGAGAGTGGTCATGCGCCTGCCGGGCATGGCACGCCGGCGAAGTGGAGAAATAGGACATCAGGCAGGGGAAAGCGGCGACAAGATTCTCCCCGGTGGCAGATCATCAAGCTCGCCAAAGGAAAAGCTCGCAGTTAACGGCTGACGTTTCCCTTTTGGCCGCCAGGGGAGAAACTTATCTAGGCCCTCGCGCAGAGGAGTTCCGCCAGGGGATTTTGCCCAGAAATCAGGTGATCATGTGTGGAATGAGACGCAGGATATGACGATGCGTGCGAGGTGAGGGACTCGTATGTGTAATGAATGAAGGGCTGTCGATTGACTGTTCTGTCTTGTCCATGTACTCAGTCGTGAGTTCAGTCAGCGGTGTGTTTGTCGGTCTGTGTATTGTCCGCTGGGTCGGTCCATTCATTTGGTCTGCCGGCGGTCTGCGCATTGCCTGTCTGTCTGTCTCTGTGTCTGTGCCCGAGCGATCACTTCTGGCCTGCACGCACATCAACCCACACACTGATATGCACACGCACCTCCTCATTTCGTCCTTTCGTCTGTGTATGTACCGGCGAGCATGTTGACGACGGTGAAGACGAGAATGGCGATGACGAACACACTCAGGAACACCTGCACACACGAGACACAAATGATTGGATGGATGGATGGACCTCTCCTCCCAGACACACACACAGATCAACGTACGTACCCAGTAGAACATTGAGACTGTGAAGACGAGCCACCAGAGTGCAGGTGCGGTGGTTTGGCAAGTGAGGCTCGAGGTCACCCAACCGGTGCCCACAAACACCCACAAGACCGACACCACCAGCCCCCCCACCGACACCACCAGCCACCCCAACTCCAGCTGAAACGCACTGAAACTACAACACACACACACACACACACAGAGAGAGAGAGAGAGACAGAGACAGCGAGAGAGACGACAATCATGCTCTCATCAAATGTGTGTGTTGTATGTCAGTCTGTGTGTCTCCCTTGGTTACTGCTTTGTGGCGATTGCGGGCATGTCATTGACGACGTCGACGGCCATTGTGGCCGGGGCGCTCAGAAACAGCGCCACCATCACCCACAGAGCCAGCGGCGAGTCGCACGGAGACAGCCCGTCAATCGCCAGCACCTAAATGACCCACACACACCTCATCTGGCTGTGTCTCATCTCTCCCTTCCTCTCTCTCTGTGTCGATTTGCCAATCACTCCCTGTCTGTCTGGCTGTCTAGCTTACGATGAGTGCGACGGCATCAGCGAGAAGGTAGACGATGAATGCGGCGTTTTGGAGGATCACCACCGGGTCGGTCTTGAGCACCTCGCCGTACGCCGTCGACGTGCGGGCAATCTCAGCCATCTCTCACACACAAAGAAACAGTCAATGTTTGCTCAGTGCTCACTCACACTTTGGTTGCCTGGCTTTGTTTGTTTGTACGCAGTCTCGTTTGTACTCACGTGTCTATGTGTCAGGCACGAGTGAGTGTATACGTATGGTGTCAATCAATCGATCGTCAATTCTAGCTAGGCTAGCTAGCTGTCTTGATCGACCATGACCAACACACACTCACACACACGTGTTCACGCACATGTACATACACATTTTCAGTCAGTCGATAGTCACTCATTCCTCGCAGACAGACAGACAGACAGACCCCTTCCCTTTATGCTACCTACTGCATGCCCAGCCTCAATTAGTTCGTCCCCTCCTCCACCCGCCCCTCGTGACCCTCCTCCCCCTGTCCGCCCGCCCCCTCATCTGCCTCTTCTTCTACAGCCAGCCCATTCTCATCATCCCCCGCGGCCGCCGCATCGTCCTCACCGTCTGCACCACCACTGCCCCTCTTGGTCTTGAACGACACCAGAGGGCTCGACGACAGCGACCACTCGCCGGGCGACGAGTTGGCCACCGGCGAGCGGAAGCCGTCCTCCTCAATGCCCTCAGGAACCTCGTCGTGTCGCTGCTCTTCCCCCTCCTCTTGGTCGTGCTGCACGATGGCGAGGCGGCTGCCGCCTGGTGGCACAAAGGGAGGAGACTCGGAGTAGGTGAGGGAGTCGACACCGGGGGACGCTGCACTCATGTGGCTGCGGCGGCCCTGGAAGAGGGGGGGTGGGGTGGGCGACGACACGCCCTCGCCTACGACAAACTGATCCGGCTGCTGGACGGCGGCCCCGTGCCCCTCCTCTCCCTTGCCCCCCTCCTGCTGCTGCTGCCACATGGCGGGTGCATATGGCTTGTGGGGCCTGGGCGGTGTGGGGCTCTCGATGAGGACGCTGCCCCTTTGGCCTTCCTCTGTCACACGGGCCGACTGGGCGAGGCTGCCCTCAGGCGTCTTGTATGGGTCAGAGGCCGGCAACGGCGAGTTGTCGTCCATGCGGATGGCATCCATGGACAGGGGCGGCACGTCGTTGGGCACGAGAACGGCTCCCGAGCCGCCGTCACCCCCACTGGCGATACTGGCGATGGGATGGGGGATCGCCACATCGATATCCGAATCCACGGCTGTGCGAGACCCACCACCGCCCTCACTCCCCTGCTCGGACAGCGTGTCATCTCGGGGCGTCATGACCTCCATGTGCTCCCTCTTCTTGTCGAGGGCTTCCTTGCCCGCCGCCACACCACTGGCACTGGGCTGCTGGCCGTCCCGTCGGCCGGGGGCGGAGGAGGAGCGCTTGGCGGGGCGAAGTGCGAGGGGGCGTGCCGGGAGATTGCCCGCCGTCATGAGGGGTTTGCCGGCCGTGCGCTGCTGGAAGGCACGCTCCAAACGCCCCACCTCGGCAGCACGCGCAGTCAGCTCACGCTGAACAGAGAGAAAGAAAGAAAACGGTGCGGGAGTGGTGCACGTCGAGCCGCCCACCATGCCAGCGCACCTACCTCCATTTGTTTGAGCTTGGCGTGTTTCTGACCGAGTCGGCTCCTCTCGCGCTCGAACTCGGCCTCCTGCAGCTGCACACGCACATACACACAGAGGACACACGGACATCAGCAAGGGCGTGCGTGACGTCTGCCTGACGTACCTTCCTCTGCTGCTTGAGGGCCTCTTCGTGCGCTTCGAACGACGCCCTGCGGACAAACACGGCCCTTGTGCCTGGTGGTGGTGGTTACATACTTACTGTTTGCATTCGAGTATGTCTTCTATCTCGAGGCAGCGGTTGACAGTGGCACGGTACTGCTCCAGCGACTCCTGGTGAAAGGAAGAGCAAGACGATCCGCACATAGGGAGGGTTTGTATGCTTGTGCATGTGCCGACGTGGCGCACCTGGTCGCGCATGAGCTGATCACTGGCCTGCTGCAGCTGCTGCTGACGAACGTCCAACTCCTCACTCTGATGAAAGGCCGGATGCATCGATAATCCTCAGGTGACAAATACGTGTGTGGTGGTTGTCTGTGTCTCTGGCGTACGCACGGACCAGACCTGTCTGAGTAGTGCGGCCTCCTTGTCCTTCAGGTCGCTACCGTATGCCTGAAGCTTGTGCTGCACACGCCATATACACACAGACAGTCATGGAATGCAAAAGAACACAGCACAGCACACATTAGCCCGTGTGCGTGTGTGTGCCCGCACATATTCGTCTTGGATCGATTTCTTCTTCGCGTTGAGATCCTCCTCCGCCCTGGCGACTCTACCCTCAGCAGCGGCGATGGCACCCTCTCTCGCACACAACTCAGACTCACGGCCCTGCAGTCCAGTCAGCAGAAAACGACATAACACATTCCCTTCCCCCATCCATACGTGTGCGTGTGCGTACGTACGTCGAGCCGGGTGTTCTCCTCTTTGAGCTGCTCTAGCTGCACCCGCTGCTCGCCATCCACCCGTTTTCGGTCCACTTCCAGCGCCTCCAATTTACGACGGACACTAGCCTGACCAATCGACAGACAAGCCATCCACTATAGTATGCCCTCTGAGGGTGGGTATGCGTCGGTGCTGTGCCCACCTGCGTCTCTTTGAGTTGTTGCTGCTGCTTTTCGAGATCGGCGTCACGCTCATCCAGCCTGATTGACACATTCATTGGGTGGATGAGCCAACCAGATGAGAGGGACAATGAATGGGAGGCATTGGGGTGTGTGGGTGTGGGTGTGGATCTGTCCAACGGACAGGGAGGCGCGCTCTGAGAGCTGCTGGCGACGGGCATCCAAACTGAAGAGGGCAGCGTACAGGGCAATGGACGAATGGATGGACGAGCGGGTGATTGATGGTTGGATGCTGCGGGTGTGGGGTACTGACCTGTCCCACTCCTTGGCCAGCCGAGCCATCTCCTGCTGCACACGATCCAACTCTGCGCTGACCTGCACACACACACACACACACACAAGCAACATACATCTTCTCCCCCTCGCCCGCGCCCCACCCTTTTCCCACCCACCTGTTCCTCCCTTGTTTCGATGTCCCTTCTGTGTTTCTCCACGTGGGCCCGCTCCTCCTTGATGGCTGCCTCCAGCCGCTGGTTAGTCTCATGGATCACCGACACGCTATTCTTGTCAGCCTGCACCTGACGCGCCCGCCCGTCTAGCTCCGCCCGCTCGCGGACGATCCGTTGCTGCTCGTGCTGCAGCCGCTCGGCCTCTCTGGCGTTGGCCTCCTCCTTCTGCTCCAGGGCCTTATCGCGGTCGCCCACACGTTGGAAGTACTTCTTGAGGCGCTGGGAATCCTCCTCCACACGAGCCTTGCTAGCCTGCATGAGCAAAGGAGAAGAGGCAAAGGCACATGGTACACGGAGGGAGGGAGGGGGGAGGGAGGGGAGAGGGGATTTACTTCTAGGTCCTTGGCGTATTGGCTGAGGCGTTCTTTCTCCCGGTTGAGGTGCTCCTCCCTCTCGCGCGTGTGCTGCGCCATGCGCTCGGCGGCCTCTCGCTCCTTCTGGGCCTGTGTGGCCAGCTGGACGCCCCTCTCCTTCTCCGCCTGTGCCGCCCTCTCCTTGGCTGCGATGGCCTGCTCACGCTGCAGCAGGTGATCTAGGGTCTCCTGCGCCTTCAACTCCTTCACACCTGACACACACAGAACAGAGAGGGGGAGAAATGTTCTCCTGCAAACAAAGGGTGCACATTCTCTCCGAATGTGTGGAGGCGCACCGCACCCGCATCTTTCTCCCGTTCGTCGAGCTCGTTCTCTCTGCGCTGTATGTCTGTCAGGCGGTGGTGCAGGACCTGCTCGGAGGAGTCGACCTCAGCCTCCCTCTCGGCGACGACCTTCTCTTTGGCCCGCAGCTCCTGAAGCAGCGACTTGATGTGCACCCGCTCCCGCTCGCACAGCGCACTCGCCCCACAGATGCAGATCTTCTTGCCCTCCTCCTTGGCCTTGTAAAACCCTCCCAGACGCAGCGCATACCCCGGATCTTTCGGCCCTGCCAAGGGGTCCTCACGGAGAGAGGACGAGGCGGCCTGGCCTTGGCCTGCTCGGGCATGCTGCTGAGGGTATTGGTGTTGCTCGTTGGGGATGGGTCTGCGTCTGTTGAGGCGGGCCACGCCGACAATCTCAGCGGAGGGGCTGCGGCGCCTTGACGTGTGGGTGCTGGTGGGCGTGCCGGCGTCGGAAACGACCGAGAGGGTCTCCAGGGCGTTGGGCGTCTTGGGCGCCTTCGGAGTCTTGCTCATGGTGGTGCACAAACTGTGGGTGGGGCTCTCGCGGCCGGCCTCGGTAGCTACCAGGTGGGACTCATTGCAACGGGCAGATGGATGGATGGGGAAGCATTGAACCAATAGCGGATACCTCAGGCATCACCAACAACCTCAAACTCCACACTCGCCAACGACCGGGGAGATGCGAGCTAAAGAAAGGAAGAGGAGAAGTTGCAACCGAAGTTGGTCTTGCCTTCCGCCACAGCCGAAAGGGGAGATCTTCCCCTTCCCTTGTTTGCCACGTACGCCAGCATCCCATCCGAGTGCATATATCCGTCGACCGACAAGATGAAGCGGCTTCGCGCAGAGGTGAAGAGGCGGCGTCAGGACTCGGTCAAGATCCCGCGGCCGTCGTACACGCTGGACTGCTTCCCCAGCAACCAGTGCTGGATCCCCCGCACCCTCAACATCAACGCATGTCCCACATTCAACTCCATCCCATGCCTACTGCACACGTGCGGCGGCTACGGGTGCCTCATCTTCCACCTCCATGGGCTGGACGAGGACCTCGGACACGTGGCGGCGGCGTGCGAGGCCATCACGGAGCGGCTGCAAGTGTCGGTCATCGCCATGGACTACCCTGGGTGAGCTGAGCACGCACCAGAGAGAAGCGGAAGGAGATGGAGATATGGTGTGTATCATCTGGCTGTGCGTCTGTGTGCCATGGATGTGTGTGTGTGTGCCATGGTGTGTGTGTGTGTAGGTATGGTGTGAGTCAAGACCCGCCCAGTCTGCGTGAGGTCATGAACGACATCCGCACGATGCTGAGCTTCGCCATACAAGTCATGCGGTTCGAACCCCAAAACATATACATCAGCGCCATGCGGCACGCTGTCGGACCGGCTGTAGAGGCAAGATAGCAACAAAGCCACCGCACACCCCTGACTGACCATGCTCCCTTCCTCCCTCCCTCCCTTCGTGTGTCTGTCTGTGCGTCGGCAGTTGGCATCGTGGGCCGACATGATGTTCCACGAGTTCGATGCGTCGTTCGGCGGGCTGATCCTCTTCTCCCCTCGGTGCTTCCGCAGCCCCGCACCCAACACACCCACAGCCACACCACCCAGGCCATCACCCACAAGGCGCTGCTCCAGGGCACCCCACAGCCCACACACACAGCAGCAGCATCTAGCGGACGGAGAGGACCACGATGACAACATGGAAAGCATTCCCTCTGCGTTCACTATCAGCCAGGTACGAGCACACGTAGGCAGACAGACAGACCGACGTACAGGAGCTCATACACACGTGTGTGTGTGTGTGGTGGGTGCAGTGTGTGCAGCAGATCAAGGCTGTCAAGTCCCCCGTGCTCATCTTCCACAACGCCGCTGACGAGTACGATGGGTCAGAGGCCCAGAAGCTGTACATCGCCGCCACGCAGTCACCGAAGAAGGTCCGCACACCGCACCACACACATACAAACCACCCTCTGTGTGTGTGTGTGTGTAGGACATCCGTCTGATGGATTACAGCAAGGACGACCCGGTGCGTGTGGTAGACAACTTCTACAAGTTCCCCAACATACCCCACGGCAGCATCACACGCATACCACCAGAGATATTCCTCAAGCCGCCAGAATTAGAGTTCTTCGAACAAGAGCAAACACTCATCGACAGGTACGTCAGTCACGTGCTTTGCTTGATGCGATGCGTGGAATCCTTCACTGTCTGTGGCTTGCTTGGTGTGTTCAGGTTGATGCTGCTGTCGCGTCGATTCCTGCCGGCGTGTTTCACCAAGGTCAAGGACACCCTCCTGCCCGCACCATTGGCAGACCCCTACTCCACCTCAGCTGTCATCCCAGGCAGCAGCCTACACACACGACAGATGCAGCAGCAGCAGCAGCAGCGAAAGGCTTCCCGGCGGCCCGGGGCAGCCCGCAAAGCCCCCCACACATCCCTCTCGCGAGCGAGGCACTCGCCCGCATCCCCTGCAGCCCATGCACACCCCACCCACCAGACGGCCCACCAGCCGGTCTTCCCCCCTCCAGCGTCGAGCTGGCGGCTCAGCGGCCTGGGCCTCGCAGGCCTGTTCGGCACACGGGCCGGTGCATCGTCATCGTCAGACGTGGGGCACACCGAGGGTCGTTCCAACCTGGAGAGGAGTCTGGCGCACCACCACCGAACGCACCACGACAACGACAGCGAGTCAACGAGTGAGACGGACAGTCAGCCGAGCGGCAGCGACGAGTCGCCAAGAGAGAGGGCCGCGGGGGGTGGGGGCGGCCTGCCGTGGTATCGGCAGAAGCGGACGGTGAAGGGGGCGGACGAGACGGCATCGCAGGCGGCATCGTACTTCGGCGGACCGGTGGGCAGCTGGTTGGGGGATGTCCCGAATGACATTCCAGACACTACTTTCGTCATGCGGCGTGACAACTACAACTACGACTACAACCACCATCCCCACAGCATCAGCACCAGCACAACCGCGGCGACATCTGGGTGGCTTCAGGCACCCATTATCGACCCACCTGTGACCCTCCCTCCCCCCAAACACACCACCCCCGACAACAGCACCAATGGCTCCTTCATCAAGCACACGGCCTCCACATCCACCGCCACTTCCAGCACCACGTCGCCAGCAGCGGCGCCAATGCACGAGGCCACCACCAACCGGCTCCCATCGATTGGCGAGGGGGTGGGCCTGGACGGATCGTCAGGGCTGGTCCAGCAGCCGTGTGACAAGTGCCTCGACGGTGACGGCGATGCGTGTCGGCGTCACGAGAACGGGGTGGTGTGGGCAGCTGGCGAGTGTGAAGGGGGGTTCTTTGCCGAGGGCAATCATGCTGGCGATCTGATGTGGGGGGAGGCCGACGGGGTGGGCGTGGGCTATGGGGGCGGGGACAGCCCGTGGGGGTCTGCCGCCCGACTGTAACTGTAATGTGAGTGACCGAGTCGTGTGCCACCGAGACATCACCACCATCGTCTATTGCTGATGGATTTGGGGGCGGGGAGGGGAGGGGTGGCGGGAGGGGTGGCTCCAAAGGAGCGTGGGTTGCGTGCAGCCCTTGCTGCCACAAGAGCAGCCAGGCCATCACAGTGTCATAGTTAGGTCTTAGTGTTTCCGAGATTTGATTTTTTCTCCCGCTGCTGCCTAACCTGACTTGGTCGCTCTTCCATTTTCGATGCGTTGATGTGTGTGTCGACTGCCTAAATAACACACACCACTTGTCCGGTCCGCTGTGTGTCTGACTCGGTGTCTGACTGTGTGTCTGACTCTTTTGCCCGCCCCACCGGCTAGTCTAGTCGTTTTACCCCCTCGCCTCGCCCCCTCTTTGTGAATAGGAGACCGCTCCTCCCTATGTATCTGCTGCTGCCGCTGTTGCGCTCCTCTGAGTTTTTCTTCTGTGCAGCTGGTGGACGCTCGGACAAGCAAGTACGTTTGGTTCACTGATCACCCGGAAACATCCCCACGCATCGCATAGCACACACGGAGGCACGAGTGAGTCGATCACCCACCACCCGGCCCGCCAACAAGACTGTACAGTACACACCACCGACGAACGCTCTTTAGTATCCCGTCGACCAAGCACCTCCACGCAGTCTCTTGCACTTGTGACACTCGTGCTTCGTCTGGTAGTTCTTGGTGCCTGAACGCATCGCATGGATCACATCCATAAATAAAACAGACGTGAAAACCATGGAGCTGCCTGCGGTTGCTCTCGTTGTATTGTTGTGTGGAGCCTCGCTCACCACACACGCAGGTCCACCACTTCTTGGGATCGTCCCTGACGATGACGCCCCTCTTGGGCTGGGCACCACCGGGCGGTGCCTGCTGGGCCGCCTTGCCCATGCGCGCCTCTATCACGTCTCTGGCACCCTCAGCAACCATTGTGTGGTCTTGCTGGAGGCCGAGCTTCTCGGCTGACTGGAGACCGGCAAAGCTATAGCTCCCGAAGGCGAGACCTGTCAACAAGAAAGACGCAGACAGCACAGATCCAGGAATGGTGTCACCAGCCGTGACGTGCTCCGTTTGTTAGTGAAGAGTTCTCGCTGACCGAATGCCTTCTGGTAGTTGGCGATTGTGGCCGATGAGGGGATGATGTCAGCCTGACGCTGCGGTGCCTTGGCAGGGGGAGCTGCGGCTTCCTCCGACGACGGGCTGCTGGGGCTGTCGTCCCGGCTCCTCTTGCTCCTGGCCTTCTCGCTCCTCCGCTTCTTCTCCTTCTCTCTCTTCCGCCGCTTCCTGTCGTCCTTGGACGCCTTCGAGAGGATCTTGCTCAGCCGCGACTCTGGCAGCTCTCGGTAGTGCCTCAGCAGCAGGGTGATCCTCTCCTGCGTGCTCTCCGGCGCATCTCGCGGCCGTATCCTCCTCGGCAGGTCATCAATAGCCTTGTTGAGGCTCTTCTTACTCATCGCCAGCAGGCCGCGCTCCACATCTTCTTCGCGGACCTCGTTTCTTGGCGATGCGTCGTCGTCGGCACGCCGCCTCGGTGGTGACGGCGGTGATCTTGACCTCGAACGTGAGCGCTGGCGGTCCCAGTTTCTTCCGCGCTGCGATAGACGAGGGGAGGGTGGTGTGCGGGATCTTCGGGGCTCTCGCTCTGGTTCCTCTGGCCTCGATGACATTGTCTATGTCCAATCGTTTGGCGTGAATTTGGTCCTCCTTGCGTCCAGCTCGCGAAAAGGTGCAGGGTGCTCCCTGAAACCGCTCTCGATGACGGGCAGCTGATGCATTTATCGCGCATGAGCGCATGAATCGACGGATTTGGTCATGCAGTGTTCACTTCATCGACATTCGTCTGTCGTGTCCGATGTCTGTGTGTTTGTCTGTTTGTGGTTCAGTCAGTCATTCAGTCAGTGTTTGTTGGTCATTCATGGTCCGTCTCTTCAGATTCTCCGCTTCACTTGGCGCCCTGCATGAGTGGCCGCTCCTCGTCAGCGCTCGGCTCTGCGCACACCCATACACTCATCATGTGTGTGTGTTACTCCGTGTCTCCTCGCCTGCCTCCCTCACTTGTGAATGTGTTGCTGATCGTCCGACCGGCGGCCGCCAGTTGTGTGCCGAGCCATCTCACGCCCAGCATGACCTGCGCTCGCATCTCCTTGGCCAGTTGTGCGTCGTTCGCCTTGGGCCACTGCGGCACCAGCAGAGACAACGTCACACAGCACACACCGAACGCCAGCAACACAACCAGACTCCCCCACAACACAACTACACGAGACACACACACACAGAGTGACGGACATACATATGGATGGATGTGTCGTGTGGGTGTGTTGGCACACCTACCTTTGTTGATGAGTGGGATTGTGTTTGCTGGGTGCACAAAGGCGACGACGTTCACACAGGCGAGGGACGACACGAGGACAAACGCCACACAGGTCAGCGCCGCACAGGCCATCACCTTGTCTGTCCGCGTTGCCTCCATGCCCTCATCCGCATCTGAGTGATTGATCATGATGAGTAACCACACACACTCTCTATGGCTGTCTGTCTGTCTGCAACTGTCTGTCTGAGCGACCTACGTTTGTTTGTTGTCTTGATGATCCTGCCGGCCAGGAATGATAGTGCGTTGGGTCGGATGAAGAGGCAGGCCGCCATCACGCCGGCCGACGCCACACAGACGAGCAGATCGACCACAACAAACGCCAACACCTGCAGGCACAGATAGATGGACAAATGAACGAACCGGTCAAGCAGCTGAGGCTGGCTGCCTGCAAACGCATGCACCGGTCCATTGAGATCGAGTAGGATGGTGGCCACGTCGAGGACACATTTGAGACACGCAGTGACGGCCAGGGCGTAGGCAGCTGTGGTGAGGTGGCCGGCCAGCCTCTGCTGTGTCTCCATCCTGCTAATTGACCTCTGGATGTCTGTCTGCCAGTCGACGTCTCTTTCTGTGAGTGAACTCAAAGCGTTTGTACTTATGTATCCATTCCGATTGATTACACACGACTGCGTACAAACAAACAAAGCCAGGCAACCAAAGTGTGAGTGAGCAAAGGCCGCAGCGGACCGGTTGAGTGATTCATTGACTGTCTGTGTGTGAGAGATGGCTGAGGTTGCCCGCACGTCGACGGCGTACGGCGAGGTGCTCAAGACCGACCCGGTGGTGATCCTCCAAAACGCCGCATTCATCAGCTACCTGCTCGCTGATGCCGTCGCACTCATCGTAAGCTAGACAGCCAGACAGACAGGGAGTGATTGGCAAATCGACACAGAGAGAGAGCAAGGGAGAGATGAGACACAGCCACAGCCAGATGAGATGTGTGTGGGTCAAATATTTAGTTGCTGGCGATTGACGGGCTGTCTCCGTGCGGCTCGCCGCTGGCTCTGTGGGTGATGGTGGAGCTGTTTCTGAGCGCCCCGGCCACAATGGCCGTCGACGTCGTCAATGACATGCCCGCAATCGCCACAAAGCAGTAACTATAACTAAGGGAGACACACTGAATGACATACAATACACACACTTGATGAGAGCATGATGGTCGTCTCTCTCTCTCTCTCGCTGTCTCTGTGTGTGTGTGTGTGTTAGTTTCAGTGCGTTTCAGCTGGAGTTGGGGTGGCTGGTGGTGTCGGTCTTGTGGGTGTTTGTGGGGACCGGTTGGGTGACGTCGAGCCTCACTTGCCAAACCACCGCACCCGCACTCTGGTGGCTCGTCTTCACAGTCTCAATGTTCTACTGGGTACGTACGTTGATCCGTGTGTGTGTCTGGGAGGAGAGGTCCATCCATCCATCCATCCAATCATATAATTGTGTCTGTCTCGTGTGTGCAGGTGTTCCTGAGTGTGTTCGTCATCGCCATTCTCGTCTTCACCGTCGTCAACATGCTCGCCGGTACATACACAGACGAGAGGACGAAATGAGGGAGGTGCGTGTGCATATCATGTGTGTGTGTGTGTGTGTGTGTGTTGATGTGTGTGCAGGCCAGAAGTGATCGCTCGGACACACAGACACACAGACACACAAACAGGCAATGCGCAGACCGCCGGCCGACCAAATGAATGGACCGACCCAGCGGACAGATACACAGACTGACAAACACACCGCTGATTGAATGACTGAGTACATGGACTGGCCCTTCATTACACATACGAGTCCCTCACCTCGCATCGTCAGTCACATCATGAAGACCTAAGTAAGTCATGCCCACACCGCACTGCAGAGCATGTACACATCATGCCACTCAGCCATGCACCTGTCGATAGCTACAGTGCAGTGATTACTCCACTCGATCGGGGAGAGTACAAGTACAGATAGGCAGGCATGTGCATGAGTAATTAAATAGAGACAGACTTAGTATGGACAGACAAATACACACTGATTGGATAGTAACAAGACCCAGCGCTGCACGCCATGAGCGCATCGACATAATCATGCCACAAAAACGCCACATTGCCCACGCACAATTAAAAGAGTTCCAACTCTGTGTGTGGCAGACTGCCGCCGCCAGTCGCAGTGACCGACAGCCGCACTGACAACACGACGGGGCCCTCGCAAAATTGAACAAAAAAGAAAGCTGCAGCCCCCCATCCCCGCGCCCGTCCGTCCTGCTCATACGTCCCCCTTGGTCCATCCATCAGTATCTCGCCCAGTGGGTGTTGTGATGCGGCAGTATCAGCTTCGAGCTCCGCGGGATGCGAGGGGGCTCTGAGGGGCAGGGCTCGAGGTCGCGCGGGGGCTCCATCAGAGAGGGCGGGTAGAGCACCAGCTCCTCACTGCTGTCCTTGACATCCGCCGGCTGGTCGGGCTGGTCGTCATCATGAGGCGATGGGGTGAAGACGAACGCGGGACGGGCTGGCGATGTCGCCCCTAGAGAAGAGAAAGAGGGACCAACACATGACAGAGAGAGGACAAAGAGGACGGTTCCTCATTGGTCGTCTCACCTCACCTGCTTGATCCAAGTTGCTCTTGAAGTAGGCGTGGTGAGAGTGCTTGAGGGTTCCCAGGTCGTGAGTCGATGCGGCCCTCCTCATTCCCACCGGTCTCGAAGCATCGGGAATCTGCAGAGGACACGAATGGTGGTGCCCTATCCCTGACGCCAAGCGGGCCAGGGCAGCGGCGTCACGGCAATAATGCTGGTTGGACGACGGAGATGGCCTCTGCTGTGTGGATGGCCGCAGAGCCACGTACGACGGAAGAAACAGGATGTCTTGCCGGCCTCCCCCTGCTCCGCCAGTGTACCGCACCAGGCCGTCTTTGAAGTCGTACACGATCGGGGCGGAGGCTGGCTTGCCGCTGCCGTAATGCCTGTTCTTCTTGGCGCCTGTCGAGGGGCATGTCGACGTCTGATCGGTAGAAGCAGGAGTGGGAATCGCACACGGCCGGGCAGGCCTGGCCGGCTTGCGCTGCACAACAGAAGGCCTGGTGGTGGTCCGTGACATGGTCGGCTCCCGCCCTCGCAGGATGAGTGCCGAAACGACCATGCCGGCACACGTCAGGACCATTGCGGCGACCAGCGGCCACACCCACACCGGAAACAGCATTCTGTCTGAGCAATCACAGTCCTCATGGGAGTGCTTGCTGCCAGTGTCGCCATCGGTGTGTCTTGTGGCCCAATTGAGGATCTCCTGCTTGTCCCGCGGCCAGAAGAAGGATGTGGGGAAGAAGCGGTCGAATGTGAAGGGCGCATGCTTGGGGTGCTGGTCGGTCTGCCTGACCACCTCCTCCCACGCCCGTAACAGCTTGTCATCGTCGGCAGAGGAGCCCTCGTCAAACACACTGACCGCAATGCACAATCGCCACCGTCCGCTATTCCATTCGCCCGCCCTCTCGTTGGCTTACTCGAAGAGCACGATGAGCGAGCCCCTGAAGATGCCCTGGATGACTACCGCCCACCGCGGCACCTCCAGCGCCTTACTCGCAACCTCTTTGAAGCTCTTGAAGAAAGACTGGCGCTTGTCCGGATCCTGACTCAACACACGCACACACACACACACACATACCAAACAGCAATCAACAAACACCCTGCCCGCCTGCAGACGTACGTTTGCGATGTCGTCATAGTGCACATTAAGTATCCTCGCTGCCAGCAGCCTGTGCGATCCGTCAGCCGCCCCGCTACCCTCCCTTTCCCTATCGCTGCCTACCCCCAGCTCCAGGTCCTCAAACGGCAGATACTCTATCAGCCGGTCGCCACCATCAGCACTCGGACCGCTGCCGTCGCCATCATCTGGCTGCTGTTGCTGCTGCTGGTGCGATGGGGAAGTGGAGGGGGAGGCAGTCGAATGGGAATCGTTCAGGGCCGCCCCTCTGATGAGCGGCTCCTCGGGGCTCTCGCGTCCCGCAGCCATTGCGGGCAAGAGAGCGGCCAGCAGAGCCGCGACCATCACTCTTCCCATCCTGCATCCGTTGAACATGTGTGAAAGACGGCACGGCGTCTTTCTATCTTTCTAACGGCCGATAATGTACACAGCGTAATAGAAGTCAGGACACAAGATGGACTCTCTCCTGGCTCATCATGGACTCTCTCATGAGCTCTCTTTGCTGACCTTGACAGATTCACGCCACGCACAGCAACGGCAGACGGACGTTGGCAAGCCTGAATCATCGGGAACAGTGCAGAGTCGCTTTTGCGGGGCTGAGTCTGCTCTGTAGTGCTGCTCTGGTCGTACAGCGCAGCCTAGAACCGTCAGATCTTTCAGCGCTTTCTTGAGTAGATCGGCAATTACAAGCTCGCAAGGAGAAGGCGAACCCAACGATACTGCAGCTGCCGCGATGTCATACGACCGTGCCATTACCGTCTTTTCGCCCGACGGCCATCTGTTCCAGGTCGAGTACGCGCAGGAGGCGGTGCGCAAGGGCTTCACGGCAGTCGGGCTGCGCGGCAAGGACTGCATCTGTCTGGCGGTCGAGCGCAAATCAGTCGGCAGGCTGCAGGACCCTCGGTCGGCACAATGCGGACGCGAAAGACTGTCACTGGCAGACAGCTGCCAACGTGTGTGATGTGCTGTGCTGCAGGACGCTCAAGAAGATCCTGGCAGTGGATGACAACATCCGTCTGGCATTCGCTGGCCTGAGTGCTGACGCCCGTGTGCTCGTCAACAGAGTGAGGGACAACACTGCTCTCACACTGCTGACGTGGATGAATGTGTGGTTGGTGGCTTGGTTGGTGTGTGTTGGTCACGTACGTCAGGTTCGGCTTGAGTGTCAGGCCTACCGCCTCAGTCTGGAGGACGCCCCGACCGTCGACTGGGTCGCCAAGTACATGGCCAAAATACAACAGGTACCATGCAGTTGTGGATCAACGCATCTACTGTCTGTCTGTCTGTCTGTGTGTCTGACATGTCAGTCGATGACCCACCGCGGCGGTGCCCGTCCCTACGGCATATCGACCCTGGTGGCTGGTGTCAATGGGGACGGCGAGCCGGCCCTCTACCAGACCGACCCCTCAGGTGTGTGCTCGGCATGGAAGGCCAACTGCATCGGCAGAAACTCAAAGGTATGGCCGGGGGGGCGGAGCGGGGCGGGGCGGGGCGGGAGTGCGAGTGTGATGACTGCAGGAGACGAGACGTCCATCCGTGCATGAGTCTGTGTGTGTGAGTGTGTTCTTCAATTCTGTCGATGCCATGCAGACTGTGTTGGAGTTCCTCGAGAAGCACTACAAGGAGGATCTCACCAAGGATGAGACCATCCTCCTCAGCGTCAAGGCACTCCTAGAGGTGCGCTGGAGTCGTGAAGGCGCCACAGCCACCGGCCCAGAAGAACCCAACCAACCCACACGCGGCCCAATGTGTGTGTGTGTGTGTGTGTGTGTTGGTGTTTGTTTTCACGTCGGTCCAGGTGGTCGAGAAGGGGTCCAAGAACATCGAGGTGGCTGTGTTGCGGAGCCAGGGGCCGGGCAAGGACGTGGAGATATCCGACCTCAAAGAGGAGGAAATCGAAGCTGTGGTACGCACCGACCGACGCACCTGACCTGGCCGCTGGCTGTACGTGTGCGTGCCGGGCTTTACGTGTGTGTGTCGTGTTGATTGTGGTGCAGGTTGCTCAGATCGAGAAGGAGGAGCAGGAGGAGAAGGAGAGGCAGGAGAAACAGAGGGCGTCCTAGACTGGGAGGGAGGCTGTGTGATGTCGTGCGAGAGAAGCGGCCTAGCAGTTGATGCATGAGACAATGACAATTCTGCCTGAGATACTCCTGTCTGTCGTGTCACGAGAAAGACGTCAAGACGTTCTTGTTTGTTTGGTGTAAAGCATTCATTTACGCACAAACGAGGATTTGGTCTCTCCAATGCACTGGAGCCATTGGCCTCTCATCACAGGACTTGGAAACATGCGTGGAGACAAAACTCTTCGCAGAAAACGTCTGTGTCAGCGTCACCACCCTAGCTATGCAGAGAGGTCACAAAAAAAGGCGACCCCGCAGAACACCAGAACACCCACGCATCTGTTTGTCCATCCATCCAGCTCTGGCTACCCATTCAGCCGACATGCAGGCAGGCACGGAGGCAACTAATCAATCATCACGTGACAAAAAACTCTGCCTTTGTTGGTGGTTCGGTTCACGGCTGCCTTTCATTCAGTTGACGAAAGCGTCGATGAGGGCGACGTATGGCTGTCTGCACTTGGGGCACGTGTGGTCGAACTGTTCAGCGGCATCCTCGTACTGCTGGGCGCACTCGTCACACTGCAGGCAGGCAGGCAGGCAGGCAGGCAGGAACACACACTTGACAGACAGATGCAGGTGGGTGTCTCTCTCTCTCTCTCTCTGCGTGTATGTGCTTACGATGCGACGCACACGGCGCTTTGCCGTGCGGTGCCGCCAGCAGCAGCGGCCGCCGATGCGTTGTGGAGGAAGCCACGGACGGCCTGCTTGTCGAGGCACATGCAGCAGGTGGACTGACGGTCCTCTCGCCCAGCACTGTTCGCTGCGGAGGCCTGCTCTTGCTGCAAAGAGGAGAGGATACACACACATACATACATGGATCACTCACTGGTGTGTCGTGTCGATCTGTATGCCCAGCCCGCCATCCTCCCCACCTGCTGAATGAGTGCCAGAAGGGACATTGTCTCCTCGTCCCTCTCTCTGCCGTTGGACAGAGCCGTCAGCTTGCCTCGCGCACGGGCGAGGAACCGCTCCACCCCTGCCAGCTTGGCAGCGATGCCCCGCTTGTCGTGGAGGAGGGCGGTGCGGATGGTACGGCCATCAGCACCAGCGAGACGACGGTCACTGAGGGTGGCGTCGATGTCGGCCTGCTCTCTGGCGAGGTTCTCCTGCTCGGTCATGACCTCGGAGATGAGAAGGCTCAGCGTATCGCCGTCGAGGTCGCCATCCAACAAACTGCATAGAGTGAGCATACACACAGGAAGTGAAGAGCTCTGACCGACGGCAGAGAGAGGGACGATGCACAACCGTGGAGTGAAGTGAACTGTGGTGCCTTCCGCTGACCTCTCCCGGTTGTGGATCTCGTCGTCGCCGTTCTGCGGCGTACTGCGGCCCTGTGGGACTAAGTTTCCGGCTGCAGCGGCCGAGCTGCCGTCACGGGGGGCACTGCCGGGTCTGTTGAACCTGCAGCGCACACACATGACAAGAAACACACACAGAGATGCTGCGATGGATGCATTTCAGTCGTTGCTGCCTGTCCTGCATGCACACCACACCGTCGCTGCTGGACTTCCTCTCGAGTGTGAGCAAACGAGCAGAACTCCCCGTACGGGCAATCCTGGCCTGCAAGAAGAGACCATCACACACAACAGCCACACGGACAGGGGGGGAAACTGTCATTAACCGTAACACTCGTCTGTGTGTCCGTGATACTCATACAAATACAGTCCCATCAGCACGCAGAGTCAAACAGGCTCAAGGGGAGGAGGGATCAATCCCCGCCCCATCAGCACACCCCAGTCCCGCA